AAAAATATTTACTTTTTCGTATACTTATTTTGAACCTTTCTTCACCATGGTTTCCTCTGATAATCTGATCAAAGCTACAGTGCCTGGAAAACTACAAAACACACAGCGATTTTATATACAATTCCCAGGGCTTGCTGCAGGGCCTCCTGGGTGTCCTGGTGTCTCAAGGTCAGAGGGAAGGCTGCCCTCCTAGTTACCCTTTCCAAAGACAGAATCTGATTGGCTGTTTTTACCACTATCAAATATGTACGCTCCTATTGGACAGAGTTTCATTCATTATCTGCTTCTCATGTCCTGATTGGTTGCCTTTGATTTAGGTGCCCTGGCTTTGGGTCTGGTTAGGCGTAACTTTTATTTTTTTATTTTTTTGGCACCAGGGATTGAACTTGAGACCTTGCACTTGTGAGACAGGCGGTGGAAACTCTGAGCTAAATCCCTGGCCAGAGGTGTGACTTTTAGAATAGTGTCCCAGGGATTGGTTCAGCTCTAGAGACAAATACTGCTAGCTACCTTCCTTCCTTCCTTCCTTCTTTCTTTTGGTACTAGGGATTAAACCCAGGACCTTCTTACTGAACTATATCTTTGCCTCTTTTTATTTTGAGACAGGGACTTACTAAGTTGCCCAGGCTGGCCTTGAACTTGCGATCCTCCTGCCTCAGCCTCCAGAGTGCTGGGACTGCAGGCTTGGGCCATCACACCCAGCTCACCTTCCTCTTCCTAGTTGCAATCCTGCCATACGTTTCTAGTTATTCCGTTCCTTTCTCGCTCATTAGCTGATCAATGAAACATATACAGGAAGTGTCCAGTTGGGGCCCTGTTGGATGCCATGGACAGAGGGCTGAGCAGCAGATTCTGCCCTCCTGGATGAATCCTTCCCTTGCACAGGAGCCCCACTTGTGGGTGGTCAGAGAACCGCAGAAAAATGTGTGCAAGTGCAGCTGCCTAAGTGGGAGCTGCCAGGTGCTGAGGAATCATAAGAGGAGGCCCTGAGCTGCTTAAGGCAACCAGGAGCCTTCCCTGAGGAAAAGAGGGTTGGACTGAGATCTAAAGGGTGAGAAGGATGTCAAAGCCCATGGGAGAGACAGGAGGGAGGGAAGGAAAAGCATTGCGGACAGAGGGAACAGCACATATGAAGCCCAGAGGAGAAGGGGAGCACGGTGGGTTTCAGACACTGTTTCTGAGTTGCACTTGGATCCCAATCTTTACCTAAATGAAGCTTTGTGTAGGGACTTGGACAAGAGGCCCTGGGTTTAAGAGCTGCATTGTGGGTTCAAGTCCTGCCTCCTGACTGTTAACAGTGAGCTCTTGGACAAGACACTTCTTGGAGCCTATTTTCTTCCCTCAAAACAAACAAAATGCTGTGACTTACGTGAGAGGGTTTTGTGGTGAGCGTGACATGAGGATTTTGTAAAATCTCTGTCCAGTTCCCGTCAGGCTAGGAGTGCTCAAAACGCCTGTCCCTGTTGTGATCACTGTCATCATGTGTGGTCACAGCTGTCATATTACGGCCTAAATACCCACTGAGGGAGCAGATCTAGGCCAAACCCCAAGAGCGTGGAGGTTGGTGACATTTGGGTACCACACGGATGACAACTTGTGTTTCTGTCATGGCTGGAGAGAGGACACCAGGCTTCCAGAAGTGCCCCTGGGCTTGGCTTCTGTGGCTTCCTGAGACAAATGTCTGTGCTGAAGGCGGACACTGGATGCCCTGAGGGCACCGTGTCTAGAATGTTCCAGAAGCTTATGCTTCTCTGTCTCAGGAGTCCTGAAATCTACAGAACTGGGCTGCTTACTCTCTGTCTTCCTTGTCTGAAACCTCAACAGCCCACTCTGTTTTGGCCTCGCCCCATTCCCCTCGTGACACCTGAGCCCAGGTGGCTTGTGGCTTGGTCCACTGATGATGATGATGGTGTGAGGGGAACACTGAAGTGGAAGGAAGAAACCTCTGTCCCTCCGTCTCTCTCCCTCTCTCTCCCTCTCTCCGTCTATCCTCCTGTCTGGCTGCCTCTCACTCCATGTTTATCTCTTTTCTCCTCCTTATATCTCTCTCTCCGTGTTTTTTGTTTGTTTCTGCTCCCCTCTTTTTCTTTCTTCATTTCTCTCTGAATTTAACATAAAAATTCTCTTTCTTTTTGCCTTTTCCTCTTTCTCCTCTTCCCTAGTTCAGGCTGGCCTTGAACTTTTGATGATCCTTCTGCCTCAGCCTCCTTAGTGCTGGTATTACAGGTGCGTCTCCAAGCCCATTCTATGACTATAAAATAGTTCCCTCCCGATGACACTTTTTTTTTCTTTTTTCAGTGCTGGGATCAAACCAAGGGCCTTGTGCCCATTAAACAAGTGGTCTGCCACTGAGTTCCATCCCCAGCCCTTTTAATTTTGAGATAGGCTCTCACTAAGTTGCCCAGGTTGGCCTCAAAGTTGCAGTCCTCCTTTTTCAGCCTCCCAAATGGCCAGGATTACCGGCATACACCACCACACTTAGCTGGATGGACTCCTTTTTAAGCAAGCGTTTAGCTAACATCATTTTCATATTTTGTAGTGGAGAAGAGGGTGGGCAGGGGAGTGAGCTGGCTTGTACTTTGATGTAGTTGAGTTCAGATAGCCTTTTTATTAATAATTTTGTGCAGATTGGTTTGCAAGATGTGAGATGTGACTAAAATATTAAATCCCCACACTGTCAAAATACTAATGGATTGGGAAGGTAAATTATAGAAGCATGTTCTCCTAGGAATTACACTGACATTCAGAGTTAGCTCTCTTGACGTTGAGTCTGCTGCACGATGCCGTGGCTTTGAGGGGAACGTGGAAGTCCAAGTTCTTAGTGGGTGCCCATGTTGACAGACGCAGTGGCGGTTGAATCAGAGGCAAAAATCACACTTTGGTGGTTTCCTGTAAGTTTTCTTACCTTGGGGAATATTAGGGAGAGGAAATGTTTCAGAATCTTGATGAAATTAAGATTATCAGTCTGGATGAAAGTGAGCAGGGTTATAGATCATTAAACATGTTTTGGGAGAAAACCAGGCAGCTTGGAAGAAGTTTGAAGACCCTGCTTTCCGTCCTTCCTCACTTCCTCTTTCCTCTTTTCCTTGTTTTAAAAGTTTCCTTCCAGTCTACATTACTTCCAGCTCACAAGTCCAAAACTGAACATTGTAGACCCCCGAGTTCCGTCCTAGTGCCTCTCCTCACCAGCTGTGACCTCAGGAAAGGCATTCAGTCTCTCTCTCTGGGCTCAGTTTTCTCTTGATGCGCGCTAGATGCCCTCTAATATTTTTTCCAGGTCAAAAATTCCTTGACACATATGCCAACAAATGTTTAATTTTTTAAAAATTATTAATGTTGTATTTTTTTCCTGTTATGAAGAGGACCCACTCCTTAAACAATTTGGATAAAAAGGAAAAAAATGAAAGCTGTGGGTAATCATTCCATCTGAAGAGCCACTGTGAGGATCTCAAGGGTATATCATTTTGATTCTTTTTGGATACAGAGTTTTAACAAATTGTGGCTATTTATAATATGTGTAACAGTTTTGTATCCTCTTTGTTTCAATTAGTACTTGCTCCTAAGCAGTCTCTGTGTCTTGTCTGTCTTCACTGACAGCTTTTTACCGAGTATATGGATTTCCTAGTGCTTCTGAGCCTGGATTTGCATATGCATACCCTGTTGGCCGGCAGTTAGTGGCCCCAGCTTTTCTCTTTTCGTGATGCATGCTCATGAATCTGACTCCATATTTTGATTTTCCTTGAGTCGATGGCTTTTGCAGTGGCTGTATTTGCATCCTCTGGGCAAACATGGAGAAATAATCCAGAAACGTGAATTCTGCCTGGAAATAAGGTTCCTTTGCCTCCCATAGCTGAGTTTTCTAAGTGGAAGAGGGAAGCTGGAGATGGGCAGTGATTGAATTTCGGTCTTTATTACAGTCTTCACTTGTTCTCAGCCTCGTTCCTTTTAGGTCTGACCTAATCCCGGTTGGTTCTTTTGGCCGCTTGCCCGATGACAGTGGTGCATTAGTGGGGACAGTGGCAGCAGCTGCCTGGCAACAAATGCTGAGCGTCTTCCGGGCACTGTGCATGTTTATCTTCATGGTAGCCTCTTTGCAGCTGACACTTGGACATTTTACAGACAGGAAAACTGAGGCCCAGAGAAGGTAAATTCCTGTCTTCAGGTCAGATGGGGAACAGGATTTGCACCCAGTTTCTCATTCTCCCATAGTCAGACCTCTTTGCCATTGTAACCTTCCCCTTCCCTACATGGAAAATGTATGTAATGATGATAATAAAATCCAATCGAAAGAACAAGGAAGGACTCAGTTTACTTCCTACAGAAGGGCAAGGCTCAAACAGAATTTTCACTGTCCTCCAGCACTGAGGATTGAACAGGGAACACTTTTTATTTCTATTTTGAGACAGGGTCTAAGTTGCCCAGCTGGTACTCGAAACTGATCCTCTTGCTTCAGTCTCTGGAGTGGCTGGGCTTACAGGTGTGCATGCTCATGTATAGAATCTTTAAGGGCTTTGAGTGGGACCCTTCTAGCCCCATCACTGGGGTGTGATGTTGGTTGCAGGACATAGGGAAATCCAAGCTCAGGGAAGTCACCTGCCTGACACACAAGCAGCTCTGTGTGTGTGTGTGTGTGTGTGTGTGTGTGTGTGTGGTCTTGCACACATATATATCCGAGACTATGTATTTTGGGATCTGTTTTGGGATGGGGTTGTTAAAGCCTAAACAGAAAATAATGGAATGTAAGAATACTGGTAACCCAAGGGCGGGAGCAAGGGAGTCAGACGTTTGCACTTAGCAATGTCATTGCTGTTGTTCTGACCCGTTACTGGCGCTTCTAGGTGAAAGGAAACTGCCGGATTTTCAGATTTTTAAGCCTGAATGGATACTTTCAGTGTCAATCTCGGAGAGAGGGCCTGATTGGCTCAGGTGGATCACATGTTCACATCTAAGCCAATGAACTGTGCCAGGATGGGGGCGTGGCTCAGCTGGGCATCCTGGGCGGGGCACAGGAGTCTGAGGATGGGATACCTGCGCTAGGACTGATGCAGTGGTTATTGAGGACAGAACTTTAAATTAGCTACCTCCACCTTATGTGACGTGGCTCTCCCTGGAAGGAATAAAAAAGCTTAGTGTGCCCAGCTTATTGTAAAGCCTTGTAGGGTTCCTCCCTCTCTTCTCTCCCTTCTTTCCTTCCTTTTAATTGAACCCAGGGCCTCTCGCTGAGCTACATTACAGCTCTGTTATTTTCTATTTTGAGGTAATATCTCACCGAGTTACCAGAGCTGGATTCAAACCAGTGGTCTTCCTGCCTCGGCCTCCCAGAGTGCTGGGATTACTGGCGTGCACCATACGGGCTCGAACTCCATTTCTTTAACAGCTGCTCAGGTGATGTAAAATGGCCGGGAGATGGGCTTGTGAGGAAAAGGAATGCGTTATGGGACCAGCACACCTCAGTCCTGATTTGGGCAGCCAGTGACTCCCAAGAGTCCTTTTCAAGTTAATAATAATTTTTAAAAAGTGTAAATATTTTCCTCACTGACATCTTCGGTGAGCACATTTCGGTGGTGTTGCGGGTCAGGGGCTCAGAACTTTGCCCTTCCTCCCCACTGCTCTGTCCTCTAGTCCTGTAACAATGGTTACTATTTATTTATTAGCTGCCGGGGACAGTCATGGACAAGATGAACCAAATTCCAGCCCTCATGGAATTTTCTACGGCCTTTACACAGGCAGAAGTAACAGACCATAAACAAGTGGCTGATAAGGACAGCTAGTGTTGTGTACGGAAGGGCATGCGGCGTGGGAAGGGGACACAGACCACAGAGGCTGTCAGGGAGGGAAAGATACTGAGAACCAGCCCTTAGGCACCGGCCTGGTCTCTGCAGTGAGAGGGTGAGCCGCAGGGAGGATTTGGGGAAAGTGTTCCAAGGAGGAGGCGTGACCAGGGCGAAGGTTGTGAGGCTGGCCCGAGTTTGGGAGTTCCAAGAAGATCAAGTTATGCATTAAGGGGAGACTGGCTGGCAGGTGGCAGGGCCAGGCCCCTGTACAAGGTCCTGTGCATTTCATTTTGCGTAAGATGCAAGGCACTTCCTCTTAGACACTCCCACTTTATAGGAGGAGAGGTTTATGTGGGTCACAGGTTCAGTCCATGGTTGATGGCTCTGAGGCAGAAACAGCTTGACGCAGGGGCAGGGTGGAGAAAACGCTGCTTAAGGCACAGCGAGCAGGAAGCGGAAAGGGAAGGGTGGAGCCAGGGAGGGAGCCACCCCTTCCAGGCCTCCCCCAAGCCCCACCTCCCACCAGGCCCCCCTCGAAGAGTACATTTGGCGCCTGAACTCATCAACAGATGAATCCCCTGGTGAGTAGAGCACGCCACGATCCAGTCACCCTCCAAGTACACGAGGCTTTTGGGGGACATTTTCCATCTGAACCGTAACCCCCTTGTTTATCCTTACAAGAATCCTACGGAGAATGCTCTATTATTTATACCCTTTTTTTCGTTTGACTTAACCTCAACTGCTTTTAAGAAAGAAAGAAAGGGAGGAAGGAAACTCTTATTACTTTTTTTTTTTAACTCTTCTTGCTTCTGAAAATTGAAAACCTCATTTAATCATCTTGTCAACTTGATTACAAAATATCTAGAGACAGATGCATGCTTCCCTGGGAAGACTAAGGGACGGGAGGGAAGATCAGGATCTTTGTTGGTATAGGAGAAACACAATTCCCACCCTGCTAGATGTCAGCTAGGCCGGATTGGTGTCCCCTGCAACCGAAGAACAAATTCTAAGGAACAGTGGAGGTTAAGAGTAGGAAGGTTTGTTGAGAGACAGCTCCTGAGAGGCGGGAGGGGTCCTGAGGGGGTGACCACCGAGGCCCTTTGTCAGGGTAATTTATACAACAGAGTCACAGCGTGGGTACAGCATTGGTCAGACTGCCATAACCTGTAGGGTCCGGAGGACAGCCGCTTAGCTAACACGGATTGATCCAATAGGGTAGCGGGTTGTGTAGCAAGGTCCAGGGAAAGAACAAAGGCATTTTTGGGAAGGGTAGGGTCCGGATGCTCTGGTCTCCCCTCTGGGTGACTGAGGCCGAGCTGGACTTCCGGCACCAGGTGGTGCTAGTGACTTCATAATTCCAGGTCGCTGCTTGTCCCTGGGGAGGCCGCAGGCCTGGCCCCTGCGTCTCTGTGTTCAGGCCTTGTCTCACATGCGCCTCCAGCCACAATTCTGACATCTTCAGTTTTTCTGCTGACTTCCTTGAGAGCCAGGCCCTCTCTGATGTACATTAATTTCTGTCTAATTTTGCTGCCTGTAACTCTGTGATGATCCCTTTCCTCTGGGGCTCATCACAGACCAGGTGCACACACACTTATCCTGGGCGGGCTGTGTAGACGCAGGTGATGGGGAATTCAGAAATGTTTGCTTGGCTGAGGTGTCCTTTAGACCTGCCAGGACCCCCTGCCTCGATGGCTTCCTCTGCACCTTCTCTGCAGTGGCTCTTGGCTTTCATGGCCTTTTCCCAGTGTTTGGGCGCAATGGTACAACTGAACTCCAGCTGCCCTCAGCAAGGAGGCAGTGTGGTGTGGACTGTGTCTGCGGTGTGCCTGGTGGGCACAACATAAGCACCTTGGGGACATTGTGCAGGGGCTTGGGGCTCAGGTGCAGGAGTCTGGGAAAGCTACTTGGGGTACAAATGCTAAAGGGAAAGCTGAAAGATAGGTAGAGATTAAGGGCACCGAAGTGGGTGGGACTCTAGGGAGACAGGTCTCGGGCAGTGGAAATAGCATGTGCAAAGGCCCTGAGGCAGGAGACTGCATGAGGTTTCTATTTGGATGGGAGGAAGAAAGGAGGGAGGAGGAAGAGGCTTTGTGTGTGTGTGTGTGTGTGTGTGTGTGTGTGTGTATGTGCATGTGTGTGTATGTTTGTGTGTCAGAGGAGATCCGTGGAATTAATGAGATAAGAGGCAGAGTTGGAAAGCAGGAGTCCCCATCCAGGAGGGTCAGGGCTTTGTCTGTCACTGGCCAAGCATATTCCTGCCTTCCTGCTTTGCTCTTGGGTTCCTTTCCCTAACCACACTTTCTCTTCTCTTCTGGGCTAACCCAACTCCCCGGGACCCCAACACATGTTTAACCCCTATCTTCAGCCCAACCCCTTGATGTGGTTTGAACACATCAAGAATATTCCTAGTCTGGCCTTGTGGTGCACTCCTGTGATTCCAGTTATCTGGGAGGCTGCAGCAGGAGGATTGCAAGAGTGAGCCCAGTCTGGGCCACTCAGCAACGAACGTGGCAAGACCCAGTGTCAAAATAAAAATTAAATAAAAAAGGGGGTGGATGTAGCTCAGTGCAGAGGCTCTGGGTTCAACCCTCTGTGCTGAAAAAAGGGACATTTCTGCCACAGAGCCTTTGCACCCTTTGTTTCCTCCTCTCAAAATGCTCTTGCCTGGCTCCCTCCCTTCCTCTGGGTCTCAACATGAATGTCACTGTGTCTGTCCTTCCCTGACCATCCTCTTGAAAGTGACATCGTCCTTCATTTCTGTCCTTAGTTTTCGTCACAGCAGCCAGAACTTGATCAATCCACTCGCTCTCTCTTGTTCCTCTGCCCGTGGCCCACAGGGACAGCACCTTGTCTGCACCCCCGTAAGCGGCCCATACGTGTGGAATATAGAATGACAAATACTGCATGTCGCTCCGTGGGGCCAGGCTGTGCTGTCTGGTTCCCAGACCAGGACTCGTTTCGTTTACGTAACACCTAGTTCTTCACGTAGTGTTGGCACCCGATGTGCTGGTGAGAAAACAGGCTCAGCTCAGAGGTCGAGTGTGTGGCCCGAGGTCACAGAGCCAGGGTGTGGCCAGCTGGCCGTGGGCATGTGGCCCCTTGGAGGACGGTCTGGTCTTTTCCGGTGGTGACCCCAGGTGAGTCCTTTCCCACTGGAGTGGGAACCCCACAAGTGGTAGAATGTGGAGAGCTGCTTCTGTCTCCGTAACCTGCACGGGTGGGCCCAGCATCTCCTCCTTGCCCGTGTGTCCCAGCAGGGTGGCCCAGGGCTCAGGGCCGTGGAAACAGAGGTAGGACTCAGGCTTGGCCAAGCCCCAGGTACCTCACAGTCCCTGGAGAGTTGTGGATCTGTGGGATGTTGGACGGCAGATATATTTCGTTCAGCTGAAAGAGCGTTTGCAGTCATATTATTTAATCCTCCCATTTAAAAAGCAGAGAGATCTCATATAAAAATCTGAATTTCTAACTCCTCTTAGAGACTGAAAAATAATCTTAGGCGGCAATGTTTGGGAGATGTCCAGAGCCACTTTACCTTTCATTGGGCAGCGGTGTACTGGCTCGGGGGCCCCTCTGCTCATTCAGGGCCCATCCTGGGCATTCGAGTTTGAGTTGGATTTTATGTGCGTTGAACCTCAGTCCCGGTTAGGCACTGGCTGTACTTGCTAAACTGTTACTCTTAGAGCAGGACCCAGGAAAGAAATCCCGGGCATGGTGCCACATCGGGCTGTTTTTACGGATGTTGTGGGAATCGTGTGGCTGACTTTCTGGGCTCTGCATTGTTCTAGGTGATTTGTACTCGACATGAAGTCATCGCCTGGGTCCTCGCCTGGTTCCTGGCTGTGCTCCTTGCGGGCGGGTGTTGGGAACACTGGGTGGTGGTGACAGTGGCCACTTTTGCTCGTCGCCTGTGTCGTATGTGGGGTGTGTGCTGCCCGTCTCTGAAGTCTCTGACGGGCTCACCCGGTTAACACATCCTGGCACGTTGTGCTGTGGTGATTACAGTCTTATCTGAGCACCTGCTTGTGTGGCTGTGGCAGTAACGCCCGTGAAACTGTCCCTGCATGGCTGCACTTGCAGCCCCTTGCAGCTAACGTGGCTTGCTCTGGCCAGCGGGCCATGAACAGAGGGGCCATGCATCATCTCCAGGCCTCAGCACGGGAAGCCGGTGTGATCTCTGGGTGCTTTTCTTCTCCTCAATGAAGTATGGAGGCCTCTTGTTGAAAATGCGGCATCAGAGTATCGCTTTGATTGATCACGTGGGCTGTCTGTGTCCTTTGGCTTCCAGTCCATCTGCTCAAATCCCGATTCCCATTGTGATGGTTTTAGGGGTGGGCTTGTTGGGAGGTGACCAGGTTATGAGGCTGGGGCTCCCATGAGTGGGATCAGTGCCCTTGCATTGTAGCAAGCGACCCCCAGAGAGCTTGCTCCCTGTTCTCTCTGCTCAGCATCTGGTAACCATACTATGAGAAGACAGCATCTGTACACCAGGAAAGGGACCCTCACCAGAACTGTACCCACTGGTACCTTGATCTTGCATTTGAGAAGCAAATGTCTGCTGTTTAAACCACCCAGTCTGCGGTAATTTGTTTCAGTCGCCTGAGGTGCTGGGTTCTGTAGCAGATTGTGGTGTGAAGCTCCTGGGACGTGGATGTGTTCGTTACTGCAGCATAACCTGGCCTAGGCTGACCGATACATTCTCTGTTAGAGTGGATTGAATACACATTGCACATCCATGTCTAGGAAACCTTTGGACAGCCATGAGGTGCTCAGTGAGGAGCATTGTAGGATGGGAAAAAAGGACCCTGTGGTTTGTGGTTTTTTTAGACTATGTATTATCAAGCTTTCTGGAAAGCTACCATCCTGAGGAAGGGAAGGGCACTCAGTATTTATTGAATGCTGTCTATTTTGCTCATTGTTTTCCACATTTAAGGATGAGGGAAATGGAGTCAGGGAAATTAGGCAGTTGGCCCAGGGTCGTAGAGCTGTTGGATACAAGACTCTGCCAAAATGCCCCCTGTCTATCTTACGGTTGTCTTTAGGCTTTGACTTCGGTGTCATCTCCTTGGGGAAGCCTTCCCTGCTCACCTAGCTAGATTAGTTCTCACTGTTCTGTGTTTTTCTGACTCCTTGGGCTTCTGCCAAGTTGCACTAGTTTCCCAGTAGACTTTCCATGCCCCAAGGGTGTGTCCTGCATCTGTCTTGCTCAGCATACCACCTCCAGCACTTACTCTAGAGCCTGGTAGCCAGTAAATGCTCAGTTTATGCTTGTGGGATGAATAGAAGGGAGTCAGGAAACATGAACTTTTGTTCTGCTACGGCCACTAAGCAATGGCGTCATTTTGGACCAGCAGTTTTATTCTCTCTGGGGCCCAGTATTCACGTTTGAGCTGGAGGGTGTTTGATTAGAACTCGTTCTCTGTGGTACACATGTTTCCTAATTATTTCACTCATGAATTGCCCTCCTGTTCCTTCTCAGGCTTTACTCTTGGGTCATCTGCCGGCCTCTTTCATTCCCTGTCTGATCCTGGAGTGCATCTGGTAGTCCGAGGAGTCTATGCATCGAGAGTCTTTTCACCAGGTACTGCTCAGCCCTCCACCTCTTTCTTCACCCATCATCCCTCTCTCCGTACACTCATCCACCCACGTACCCAGCGTGTGAGTCATGCGTTGTGCTACGACATCAGGGAGGTACGGTGCCCTGACGTGATAGGAAATTTTCAGCTCCATTACAACCTCAAGGGACCCCTTTCCTAACGTGCTCCTTTGTCGATGAAATGTTGTTATTGGACCATGACTCTATTTGTGTAATTAAAAGAAAAGCAAAAGCAGGTGCCCCACCTCAAAGCCTGGTGGTGACCATGTGCAGGACTGGTGAATCAGGGGACCCTGCAGACCCCCACCTGTGTCAGGAGGGCCCTGGAGCTGTTTCATAATTAAAAGCGCAGAAATCTGATCATGTGGGTTGTGCTCTGGAGGCTGTGTGCATGGAGGCTCTGTGATCAGAGTCCAGAGGGCCAGCGTGGCCAGTGTATGTGTCCAGAGCTGTCCAGAAAGGAGTTTCCAGACCCACAGTGAGGAAAGCTGGCCCGTGCACCAGGGACCTTGTGATAGTGGCCCATGATCACTCAAACGACTGTGAGTCCTGGGGAGGGAAGTAGGGGAGCAGCCAAGGCAGCTGGGGCTGGTCCTGCTGGGAGCTCTGTCCGGGAGCCGGTGTTTTGCACACTCTGATAGGGCTCAGCACACCGCAGAGCTATGTGGGTAAGGAAGTACTTGTGCTTCACTTACCCTGGGCGTCAGTCGATCCAGGGCTGCGCCGAGGGTGTTGTGTTATCTAGTAGACACTCTGCCCTGCTCCGTGCACCGTCTTAGCATGCTCTGGCAGCTAGAGAACAGAATCTGTCAAATTGGGGTGCAAAGAACAGCAAGAAGGACATCAGCAGTGGAAAGCTGTGGCTCTTAAATAGATTGGTAACTGGAGGAAAATGTGCTTAGTGGGGAAGATGAGTTTTTGTCTCACTTTGGATTCTTGGCAGAATCAATAAGTTGACATTCTGATTTATACATTGCTCTCTTGTGAGTCTGAAAAAAAAAAAGCAGCAAAAGTTGACATTCTGATTTATACATTGCTCTCTTGTGAGTCTGAAAAAAAAAAAGCAGCTCCTTTTCAAGAGTAGTTGGAAGAATGATTTGCTTAGGCTATAAAACCCTAGACCAAGTTTGGAAACTGAAAAAGCAAAATATTGCACCAGGCAGGGACCATAAATAAACAAAGTAGAGAAAAAGAGGGATACAATGTCTTGCATATAGTAAGTGCTCAGTAAAAGTTGCTTGTAACAGTAACAGCAGCAACTATTTCTGGGGGAAGGCTCTAAGGAAAGAGGGGAATCCGGATGAAAGTTATAGAAAGGATGCCAAAGAAACTAGGGTGGGGTTAAAAGAGAAGTCTCCTTGCCTGACACTGGCCTCTTGTAATTAGGATGATGGTGGCTTTCTGTGAATTGCAGAGATGGCAGTGGTGAAGTGAGGTTAATTGGAAATGTGGGTGTGTGACATCTTCCACTCAGATCTCCGAGATGCCAGTAATTAAACTCTCTGTTCTTGGCTGCTGCCATTAATCATCTGTGTTCTTGGTGCTACGCTGGCCATCAGCATTTTTCTACACTGCCTCCTGCATGGGCTTTGTCACATTATCGGGATCGTGGTGGAGAGATGCAGAGCCGAGTGGCAGCGTCTGTGTAGGACAAAGCTGACTGTCTAGTCACATGGCTCATCCATCCTGCACCCCAAGGCCCAGCGCTGGGAGCTTCTGAGCCTTCCAGGGCCTGTGGGAATTATGTGCATCCCACAGAGAAACTGTTGGCTGGGGAACCAGGAAAGGGAAACCACAACTCCACATAAGTATCTGTTTCCTTTTCTGCCTACAGGATGCAACATTTTATCAACTAATCAGTGGCAACAATCTCCATGCACAGTTCTATACATGTTGTACCTTTTGTTGTTGCATTTTAACCTTTTTATAATTGGAGGTGGAGGATTCTATTGTCAAGCTCTTGAGGGTTTATATGTGACACAGGCTACTGAGCTGTAGGGATTTGATTTATTCAGAAGGCTCTTGAGTAAATGGCTTAGGTATAGCTCAGAAGACTGCTCATCTGACTTTTTTGATATTCTTTAGAACTTAAAATGTTATTTATTTATTTTTTTGGTACTGGGGATTGAACTCGGGACCTTGCGAGGCAGGTGTCGGCACCACTGAGCCAAATCTCCCGCCTTAAGTTAAGACCCTCAAAGTTTTAATAACAATAGTCACCATGTGCTTATTGGAATAGCTTAACAAACCCAAGCTAAATGCCCAAATCAAAATGTTACTGCTATCTTATCAGCTGTCCTACCTTTTTTATAGTTTTTTTATAGTTTTTAAAACGCAAGGGCACCCATGTCTGCCGCTGGCTGTCCCAGGGGTTTCAGGTGAGTGATTTCACCCCTGGACCTCAGCTTTCTGGCTTGGACCGTGGGGCACAATAGTACCCTCCTCCCAGGTGCTGTTATTGGATAGAGGGTCTGGGGGTGCAGGTTCTAGTTTGTTGTACCCCAGACAAAGAGTTGAACAGGACACTCAGAAGGAGCAAGAAGAGTTAAGATTTACTGAAAGTGAAAGAAGTAATAGTAGGGCTGCACGGGGTGGAGATGGGCCCGAGAGAACTCAGCCTGGATGGGGGTAGGCGCCGGGTATCTTGGATCCTGGAATTAACGGTAGGATGCACAGTTTGGGGCTGACAGGAGTCTGGGTCCATTGGGGTACTTGATTTAGGGCAGTCCATGGAGGTATGATTAGAATCACATTTTGGGAAAGTTGACCTGTTTTGGTCCTTTTAGTTCAAATACGGGCCATTCTGCAGGGTAATGGGTTAGCTGAATAATTAACATCACCTTGTAAACCCTGCCTGATTTAAACCCAAGTCATTATGCCTGATAGGGACAAGTAGTTTTGGCTGAGGCCACTTGGCCTGGAGTCCTTTCCGTGCTGTGTGTGTTGGGGGCTAAAGCAGCCAGGGGAAGGAGACAGAGATCTGAGTTCAAGTCCTGCTTTTGCCTCATGCAAGCAGTGTGTCTTCAGACCAGTCCCTTCCCTGTCCCTGAGCTGCTCCCTCGTGTGTAAGAAGGGACACTGCTGCCTGCATCGGGGGCGGCTGTGGTGAGGTGGATTAAGTAAACGCAATGCACATGATCAGTGTTACTTCTTGTCATCTTGTCCTTGATCTTTACCATCAATTCTCACCCACCATTTGAGGAACATATGAAAAACAGTTAGCAAACCCCTAACACACAGGTACCTTTGCCATTTAATTTCATCTCCATTTACAACTTTTGTCACAGTATATTTGGAAACCAGATGCAAATCTGCCCTTGACAAACAGGAAAGTGGAGGTATATTAAATTCATGCCACCAGAAATGAATGAGCTGGCGCTTTGAGTTAGCATAGGTGAATCCTCTCAAAAACATGTCAAGAAAGGGCTGGCGGTTTAGCTCAGTGGTTCTGCCACCTGCCTCGCAAGTGCTAGGTCCTGAGTTTGGTCCTCAGTACAAAAAACCCCACACAATATTACTTATATGTGTGTGTGTGTGTGTGTGTGTGTGTGTGTGTGTGAGAAATGAATGAGCTGGCGCTTTGAGTTAGCATAGGTGAATCCTCTCAAAAACATGTCAAGAAAGGGCTGGCGGTTTAGCTCAGTGGTTCTGCCACCTGCCTCGCAAGTGCTAGGTCCTGAGTTTGGTCCTCAGTACAAAAAACCCCACACAATATTACTTATATGTGTGTGTGTGTGTGTGTGTGTGTGTGTGTGTGTGTGTATATTTTTATAATATTACTTATATTTGAGCAGCAATTATATAAAGTTGAGGATACACATTACATATACAGGTAGTAGAGGTATAAAATCATGCACAGAACTGAAAAAACATTGAATTCTAATTAGAGGTCTGGCCGAGGAGGGGACACTCATAATATATTGGGGATACATCTTTATTCTGGTGATGGAACCCAGGGCCTCACACATGCTAGACAGGGATCTGGGGCACCCTAAACACTCTTGTTCATGTCCTTCTTTTGTTTATGTTCATGTGAATGTGAATGCACAAGGCAGTTTTATTTGTAGTTGTCAAAAACTGGAAACAACTGCATTGCTCTAACAGGTGAATGAATAAACAAAGAGTGGTACAGTCACACAACAGGATTCTGTGTGTGAATAAAGCATGAGCTCTCCATACAGGGAACATCATGTAAAAAAATTAAAAATAATGAGGTCAAAAGATGCTGAGCCAAGCGAAACCCAAACAGAAGAACCTATGGTTTCATTTATACAAAATCCTCGGAAGTGAAAATTAACCTGTAGCATGAGAAAGCAGATAAAATATTGCGTAGGCGTGAGAGAGATTGGGAAGGGTTAGCAAAGGCAGTGAGAAGACTTTTGGTATGATGGTTGTGTCTATTAATTTGTTTTTTTTTTCTTTTATTGAGCTTATTGGTACATTTTAGGTATACAGTGCAATTACATTCATTATTGGGATCTTGTATCTTTACATGACAGGTCTTGGTTCTCATTTTTTCCCCTGCCCTCCCTTTACCCCCTCCTCCCCTCCCCATTTACAAACACTTTATTTCCATTTTTTCATTTTGCCATATTTTTTTCTTTTCCCTTATTACCTTTCCCCTATTTGATTATGGTAATATTTTCACCATAAGATATAATAATATAACAGAACTGACCAAATTGTGTGTTTTATGCACAGATCATATGTCAATAATACCTCAGCAAAATTGCTTGAAAATCAGTATTCTAGTATTTTAAAAGTTTATATTTAAATGTAATTAAATAATCGCGCTGCTTTTATTTATACTTTACAAAACTGGATAGAAGTGCAGGTGACAGGGAAGACCTCTTAGGGTCACCTCGCTTCACTTCTTGTACTTAGGGAACCTCCAAAACTCCTAGGTCCCTGGAGAAGTGTTTGAAAGCTGTGTTAAACGAAGAGTTAACCATGTGTTCTTTTTTTAAAATTAATTTTATTGGTAC